GTGTTCCCTCTCTCGCTGTGTCTCTCTCTGTCAAAAAAAAAAAAAAGAAATGCTCAGAATAAAAATGTAGAAAGATAATAACTCCTAGAAACACACCCCAAAGACAACTGCTGACATGTTAGTGTTTCCTTTCAGTTTTTTCCTATCCATCTTTGTTTCCCAAACAGTATACATAGCTATATATGCTATATATATATATATCATCACATTTTCCCACATATATCACATGATAATATTCCCCCCCTTTTTTTACACCAACTTTACAGAGCATAATATTCCATCAGGAGCATACAACATTATTTACTAAACATTTCTCTGTTGTTGACAATGACCTTGGTTCCAGGTTTTTGTTTTTTAAATAATATTGCAATGAGCAATGGAATTATGCGATCTCAATATTAATACATACTTATTAAATATAATATTCTCTATATATCTTTTTAATATAAAAATGAAATGAGGTGAAAATGTAATATCTTGAGAGTACTCCCAGAATTTCTCTTAGGAAGGGAGCTATTTTTATTATGAGAAATAAGCCTCTTAGGGGTAGAAAGTAAGATCTTTAGGGCATGAGTGTTGGCAGGAACCCTAGCAACAAAGGGTTAAGTTGTCTCTATCTGCCTGGAAATCAGGAAGAATTTGTTTTTCTCCAGAGAGGGTGGGATAGAGGAGAGATTGGTGGGGCAGGGAGGAGAGGTAGTGATTCGGGAGAAGGCAAGACCCTAAGAAGGTGAAGGGCCAGTTAGAAAACCTCAAATGGATTGTTCAGAAAAGACCCTAAGAATGTCTGGTGTGTGAGTCTAAACTGTTTGCGACGCATCATGTGATCACGTGACCCTGCTCCAGGGCCCAAAGCATCATAAAGTCCTCTCTGCCCATGAAAGTTTTGTGTGGGAAGACGGGTGGGCAATTCTCAGGAAGGGCTGGGTTTCATCTCTACATTTTTAAACTGTGGCACTACAACAGCCTGGCAGAAACAAGAGCCTGGAGGCAGCGAGATTTGGAAGAACACAAATCCCCAGAAATTTGCAGAAATCTAGGGAAGGCTTTGACCTCCACAATTCACTCTTACTTCAATCTCAAAGGGCAAGGAGGTTGACTTCTGAATTACAAAAGTAATGCACATTTATTTCAAAAAGTGCAAAAAAAGAGAGAAAGAGAAGCAGGGGGTAAAAATCACTCATGGTTCTACGAGGGTGTGGCCTGAGGAATGTATTCCAGAGGGAAGAGGTAGCCATAACTTTAAAGACGGTGCTGAGAAAGCAGTTACCCATTGCTCATATACCTGTGAGTCAAGTCTTGTTCCTCGCCAGACGACAAACCCAACTTCTTCCATACTACCTACTAGCTGCTCGGTATCTTTTGATGGTATATCTGAAGGGACAGGTTGGGATAACAGATCCCTTCCAGGTCTCGAAAAACTAGGTTAGGAAGCAAGAGCAGAATTTGCTACAACAGTAAGGAGGATGCTCCCCATTTAGGTGGGCAAGAATATTACATAAGTACATAGGGAAGATAGGTGAAAACTCCATAACCATAAATTTCTAGTTGCAGAAGCCTGTGGAGGGAGGAAATTCCTTTCATTAAAATTATAAGCCTCAATGACTCCTCCAGGGGTGTCTGGAGACCCATGTTCTAACCCCTGCCTTGCTTCTCACTGCAAGTCACTCACCTTCTCTGGGACTGTTTCTTCACTGGAAGGACGTGGAGGCTGTATGAGACGACCTCTACATTCCCTTCCAGCTTTAAATTCCCTTTTGTGATACTTGCCGAACTTGTTTTACTGGTCCTGGAACATCCCCGCTCCTGCACCTCCCTCAGCTGCCGCGCCCGAAGCCTGCACCAGAGGGCGCTGCAGGCGGGCCGTGGGGAGCTTGCGGTGGGCGGAGTGCAGAATCAGGGGAGACTCCAGGACGCGCGGTGATTGGCCCCGGCCGGGGCGGAAGGGGGCGGGGGGGGGGGGGGGCCCGGGCTGCGCGGTGACGTCAGGATGGTGGGGGCGGGTCCGGGCCGCGCAGCGTGTGACGCCGCGGCCGCGGCGGAGCTAGGGATTAATGGGAAAAGTTTTGGCAGGCTTCGGAGGATCCTGCGGAGCCTGCGGGACGGCAGCGGCGGCGCGGGAGGCGGCCAGGACAGGTCAGTCCGGGTCGGGGGAAGCGGTAGGCAAGCGGCGGAAGGAGGCGGCGGGCCCGGGCTGAGGCGGCCAGTGGGGCCGGGGCGCGAGGCCCGGCGGGGAGTGGGATGGGGGGAGCGGCAGGGGTCTGCGGGCCGAGCTGCTGCGGCTTTCCGACACCCCGGCCCCGGCCCTGGCCGGTCCGCGGTGGTTTGTGGCTCTCCTGGCGCCCCTGAGCCCCTGGCCTTTTGGTCCCCCATCACTGAGCCCGAACCGCGGGCCTCCCCCACCCGACTCTGTGCCCCCTCTTGGGCCTAGTGGTTCCGTCTCCTCCCACTTCTGTGTCCGGGAGCCGGGTCTAAGGCTCGGGGTCCTCTCTCATTCCCTCCCGTTGCCTCTGACCTCTTCCTTCATCCCTTCTCTGGTGTCTCCAAAGCCATTGCCCTCTCTACCCAGGGTCTTCTCGGGGGATCTTCTCTGCTCCTCTCGTTCTCTTTATCTCGTGCCTTCGGCCTCCCATCCTTGCCCTGTCTTTGCTCTCTTTTCCCATCCCGGTCTCCTCCTTCCCCCGTTGCCTGGCCCCTCTCAGGATACGGTTTCCGGTCATCTTCGTGGTGTCATTAGGCTTTTTCAGCCCTTTGCCAGCAATCCCTGTCTATCTAAGTCTGGCTACCCTCAGAGGCCCTATTTTTGCCCGTCTCTCTAATTTCCTTCTGATTAAGCCCTGTCCCCTGTGTTGCTGTCATCTACCTCCCGTTCCCTCCCAGTCCCTTGCCTCTCCTTCACGGAGAAGCCGTAGCTCCACACACTACTCTGCTTTCCCTTGACTTGCTATTGAGATACCCCTGGGGTGGGGTGGGGGGTGGCCAGCCCCCGATGGAAGTAAGGGCTGAGGTGAGTAACAGGCGTGTCTTTGTGGGAGTATTTACTTGGGTTTTGCATCAGGAATGGTGTCCAATTTGTAGACCACTCTTATAATCTCAGCTTTAATACTTCCCCTTTATGGGTTTGTTGACTTCCAGGAACCCTTGGGGAGAGAGCAGCCGCTGACTTGGGTGTGTGCCAGGGGTAGCTGGAGGCCTCATCCAACTCTTTTCCCCTTCCAGGAAACAGGGCTCTGTGTCTTTCCACTCTGGATCTACCAAGCACAGTTACACCACGATATTCCAGGTTATCTGTGCCCTCACTCCCACCCTTCACCCTGTGCCCTGTCCCCAAACGCTAAGAGGAGTGGCCAGAAGTTGTGCCCCAGAGAATGCCTTAAACTTTTTCCTCTGTACTGGCCCAAGACATTTTTTTCCTACTTGAGTTTTGAAATAGATTGCTAGCCCGATAGCCCTGAGGCTAGCAGGCATCTGTCCTATTTACTGGTCACCGCGGAACCAGCTTCTGATTCTCACTTGTGCATCTCTGATCCACTGAATGTTAGAGCCTCTGTTGTAAGTCACTGAGCAGGTTCTCTCGAAGGTTCTTCTCCCTCCCATTTTCCTTGAGAACTTAATTTCCTGTGGATCCAAGTGGGAGGCTGACCCTAAGTTCTGGGTCCCTTTGCCCTGTCAGGTGGATATCTGCCTGGGGAGGTGGTGGGGCTGCATTACATAGACGGTGTCAGTGTCTCTGTCCAGTCACAAAGATGCCCTCTCTGGGGCCAGAAAGCCTGCTGCCTTCCTGGTCTTTCTGGGGGTTTAACCTTCTTGTCAGGCAAAACGTTCTTTTCAGGTGCCTTCAATCTGAGCCCCTTTATTTGGCATTGGTCCCCTGGAGAGATCTTTAGGAAATAACATTATCCTCTGTTTCTGCCCAGTCTGATCTTGGAGGATTCTGAAAGCATGACCCACTCTCACGTTTAGAAATGAAGGCCTGTTGTTTCACCTGGCTCCAGGTTTCTAGGTCTTCTCTTTTGAGGATCGTGCTCTCTTCTCTGTCTTTGAGCCAGAATTGGACACAGAATTGGCAACTTTCAGGAGCTGTGGTGGAGAGCCAAGTGAACGAGCTTAGACCAGACTTTAAAGTTTTGGAATCCTCTTGTGCACTGACCCTTTTCTGTGAAAGAAATAGGACTGTGGGCCTCTGAGCCAGTCCCCACTCCATTGACCCCTGAGCCCCTCCCTAAGCAGTACTTGGATGGGATTTGGGCAGAATGGACCAAAAGGGGTCCCGTGTTCTTATGAAAAGCATCCCTCCAGGGTTTTAATGGGTCATTCTGATGAAGTTGAGGTCATGTGTTTGGCAGTAAGTTAGTCCAGTCTCTGACTCCCAAGGACTTTACCTGACTCTTTTGAGAGGTTTGCTCCTCCTCTGTTTTTGCTTACCCATTAGTGGTACTCTGCATCGAGGCAGCAGGTGAGAGGGGCTTAAGAAGAGGTCAAGTCCAGTCCTTATGGAGTGGCTTGGGCACCGCCAGCTCTGGCTGGTTAGCTTCTTGCAGCTTGTCCACCCTGCGGCCTAGGTGGATGGTCAGGGTTATCAATGACCCAAGTTCCCATTCAGTGAGTTTTGCAGAATTTGGGTCAGCCGTCTCTCTTTTTCAAAGGTGTGGGCAGACAGGGGCAGGCCCCAGACATTATTCTACAGAGGGTATAGGCTATCAACTCCTTAGTTTAATGGACTGTTCTTTTTGTTTGGCTCTTTCTTCTTGCCTCTCCACTGTTTTCCTCCTTTGGTGTATGTCTCTACCCTTCCAGAAGAATGGCCCTTACCCCACCTGTGGCCCTTCAGATCTCTTCCCTCAGGGCCTGATAGAGGCTAGCCAGGGTTGCACGCTGACCTGGGAAGCATGTAGCCTTCTGCTTTGGATAGAGTGCGGCCGTTCTGGCTGTTGTGCAAGCCGTCCCGAGGGCCTGCAGATCCCGGCATGTCCCGGGACAGTGCAGCTCCTCTCTCTCAGGAGGAGTCAGACCTGTCACCTCTAAAGGCCTCAGCTCCAGCGCCTGTCCTTGCGGCCCACCTCCTAGGGTGTTCCCTGCTGGCTGGGGAGCTGAATTGCAGGGCCTGCCTCCAGTGCCTGAGTAGGGCCTGGAAGTGCCAGGAGTTGCCCCACTGCCCTGCACTGTCCACGCTGGGATCTTCCTCTCCCCACCCAGCATCTCCATGGACTTTGTCCCCCCAGGCCCTGGCTTGTGTCATGTCAGAAGTTCTGTGTGCGATGCCCTCGTCTGTGCCACGTTGTCCCAGATGGCACAGCGGCTGCTTCTTGTAGATGGTCTGATGTCCCTGAGCATTTTGCTGTGCCTTTGGGTCCAGGGGGAGGAGCCACTCACAGCAGCTGCAGTTCACCACGTCAGAGGAGAGCTGGGCGCGTGCTGGAGCCTGGCAGGGAGGAGATGGCCCCTTGCATCAGGTTTCAGCCATGTGGGTCTTCTTCTTGGCAATTGGTTCCTGGCCTTCATAGCTCTGAGGCTGGCGATTCGGGTGTCATTCTAGTCCTGTTGCCACAGGGCTTTGGTCAAGGACTCAAGCATGACTCAGGGCATCTCCCATTTCTGAGCTGCCACCTGTGGAGGATGTTGGGCTCCAGGTCCTTCTTCACTTTGCCAGCCCCTTCTGCCTCACCCCGGTAAAATCAGCCAAGCCAGTGTCTGATTACTTGGAGATGAGCAGACTACTTCCAGGATCGGGAAATATTTGCTGACTCAGGCTCAGAATAACAGCATCTCAGGGTGGGTGGGTGGGTGGGTGGGTAGGTGTGTGTGTGTGTGTGTGTGTGTGTGTGTGTGTGTGTGTGTGTGTGTGTGACAGAGAAAGAGCCAGCTTACCAATGAGCGGTTTTTGAGTTCTAGTGTTTACATTAACGCTGCTTTTCTGACCCCTGGTGGCTCTCAGCTAAAGATGTTGGGTTTCCTTCTGTCCTGCAGTGTTGCGTGGTGTTTTGGGCATGCACGTGGTACTCACGCAGTGGCTTCTGTTCACCGACAGATGAGGACAGATGCACCAAAGAGGTAATCCCGTTTTCCTTACATAGGACCTCTGACGACCGACCGACTGAGTCATCCCAGATTTAGGATCCTGACCTAAAAGATGAAACAATTTCACTAGGGCTGAGTTCCCAGATCCCAGGTGCCTATCATAAAATTTGATACTCATTGCTTCCACATAGTGGGCACTTATTAAATAATTATTAAATGTCTATGGCTTGTGTAGTTTTTTGGGGAGCATTGAGATTTACTCACCTTTACATGCATTAAAACATAAATTCCACAAGGGTAGGGACTTATTTTGTTTCCTGTTGTGTCTAGGACTGCCTAGTGCTGAGGAGATGCTCAAATATTTGTTGAATGAATCAGTGTTCAAACTTTTCTTCTCTGTCCGTATGGATGCCAGGCCGCAAAGATGGTGTCTATCATTCTTTCCTTTATGCAGCAGACATTTCTGAGTGTCTACTGTGCACCAGGCAGTGTACTAGACACGTGGAAAATGATGATAGCAAAAAACCCAGATGCAGTTCCTGCCTCATGCGTCCAAAGTTTGTTGGCACATATGAGATCTGGGCATGATACACAAGAGTTTTTTCTTCCATCTCTGCTGGTGTAGCAGGTCTTCACCAGTCTGAACAATGCTCTGGGCCGCTCGTTACTGTTTCCCTGTTTGTTCTCAGGATGCCTGGCGGATTTTATAAACTCCCAGAAGGGGAGCTGCAGGGAATTGGATGTTCATTGTCTCAACTATCTGGGAGGCCAGGCTGTGGTGAGGTCCCTGCTGGGGGCCAGGGGAAACATGGGCTCCTGTCTGATTTGTTTTAATCTCTGAAGTTCAGTGGTTCCAGCAGCTGTTTATGGGCTTCACTTCCCTTTCTCTGCCTTTGACACCCTGTGGGTTTTCCTGTTGCCAGACAGGGTGCTGAGCCCATATGTCTGTCAGTCTGGGGGCGGTGGTCAGGTCGTTTGTGGATCCTGCAGGAAGGGCTCAGGCAGGGGCCCCTCCTGTTGTCAAACCCATACCCAGTCCTCTCGTCTGAAGGAAATGTGAATGAGGAAGAAGGGGGATGTGGGGGGCTGTGGAGGTTCCCTGAGAGGGGTCAGGTAGAAGGGAGAGCTGCTGAGTCCGTTGCTTTGTCACTCATTCCAGCGGCAGCTGGTCACAGTGGCAGCAGTTGTACCTGTCCAGGGCTTACTTGTCCAGTTGATCTCTGAGCTTGGAGCTCCCACTCTCAGCGAGAAGTGTTCTTTCTTAGTTTCCACCGACAAAAGTGAGGCTAGGGCTTTATCAGATTTTTCAGTGCTAATCTCAGAAGACTGTGGTTTGGTGGGTATCTTAGTCTTTCCCATCTGAGGCACTTCTGTGGGTCAGGTCCTGTGACAGATGTTTCGGATACGGTCCTTGGCTGCTCCCCTACTCCCACCCCCCCCCCAAGTGTGTGGAGTCTAGCTGGGGAGAGAAGACATATGTACAAAAAGATTTTGAAAATATGAAGAGAGCTGACGGGTACTGAGAACATACTGTGCAGGGATACTCATTTAGAGGAGCAGGTCATCACTTTGGATCAGCTTTGTCCCTGAAGAAACTGGGTTTCAGATTGGGCCTTGAAAGAAAGTTGGTTTATTTTGAAGTCAGCTTTATTTTTAAGATTTTATTTATTTGTCAGAGAGAGAGAGAGAGCACAAGCAAGGGGAGAGGCAGAGGGAGAGGGAGAAACAGGCTCTCTACAGAGCAGGGAGCCTGACGCGGGGCTCGATCCCAGGACCCTGGGATCATGACCTGAGCCAAAGGCAGATGCTTAACCGACTGAGCCACCCAGGTGCTGCTGAGGTCAACTTTAGAACGTCATAAACAAGGATTCTCAAACTTTTTGACCTCAAGACCCCTTTACACTCTTAAAAAAATTACCAGGGACCCGAGAACTTTTGTTTACCATAGTAGAAACTAAAAACCGAGGAATTTTTTAAAATTACTAACTTACTAATTCATTTAATATAATAATAAACCCATTACATTTACCACAAATGACATTTTTAAGAAAAAATAGCTATTTTCAAAACAAAGTTGAGAGAAGTGGCATTGATTTACATTTTTGGCCATCTCTTAATGTCTGGCTTAATAGAAGACAGCTGGATTCTCATAACTGCTTCAATGTTCAGTCTCTTGAGATATGTTTTATTTGAAGGCTATGAAGAAAATCTGGCCTCACACAGATAGCTTGTTGAGAAAGAGGGGGGTAATAGCTTTTAATAGCTTTTGCAGTTAATTGTGGGTGTTCTTCTTTGATACGATACCAAAACTGGACAAGTGGTAGTTTCTTAAAGATTAGCTGGAATGTGGAGTCTGAAACCTTACCAACGGAGTTTTCATACTTTGTAACATTAAAATCCACTGGTCCATCTTGTACTTTAAATGGATCTTTTACTTTAAGTTGGTCACCGGAAAATATTGGTTCACTGAGTCATATAAATCTTCTAAATGTTGACATGTTTCATTTTATAATATCAATAAATCATATTAATACCACTGATCTCAACAGAAAAGCGTTCAAGTGTTGGGAAGCTGTCAAGCTCAGAGTGGTGGATACAAGTTTTCCATAATTTGGATTTTCTCTTGAAAGCTTGATTTTTATCACTGGTAACGTACCGTCAGGTTTTTTGTTTGTTTGCTTAAAGATTTTATTTATTTATTGAGAGAATGCACACGTGGGGGGGGAGGGGCAGAGGGAGAAAGAGAATCTCAAGCGGACTCCCCACTGAGCGTGGAGTCTGACACAGGGCTTGATCCCATGACCCTGAGATCATGACCTGAGCCAAAACCACAAGTAGGACATATAACCAACTGAGCCACTCCTGGGTGTCCCCATGCTGTCAGGTTTTTTTTAATTGAATCTCCATTTTCAAGAAAAAGTCTGTCAAATACTCAAAGTCTAAATAATTATAATGTTACTTTTTTCTTTCAAGTAAAAATGTTGTTTCATGAAAAAAATGACTAGCTTACAGCTCAGTCTCACAGTTTTTCTTGAGACAACCATGTCACTCTTAATTTGTTACAAAGAATATTTAAAAGACATGTACTTAAGAGTCACAATTTAATAAAGTCAGGTTTTAATTGTCTCATCCAGGACAGCTTTTTTAAGATTGATTTATTTATCTTAGCACACAAGCAGGAAGAGGGGGAGGACGAGAGGGGGAGAACCTCAAGCAGGCTCTGACTCCCTGCTGAGTGCGTGGGGCCCCGACCCCACCACCCTGCGACCATGACCTAAGCTGAAATCAAGAGTCAGCCGCTCAACTGCCTGAGCTACCCAGATGCCCCTTGTCTAGGACATTCTTAAGTGAAATTGGAACTTTATTATCTTTTATGGTTCTTTGGATTGACTGGGCTCATCTGGGCAGTTCTCAGTTGGGGTGTATTGCTTTAGTCAGATGGAGACTGGGGTAGGAGTCATGGGGGCTCAGCCGGGCTGGACGTCCACACTGGCTCACTCACGTGGCTGGCACTTGGTGCTGGCTGTTGACTGGAGTACCTACATGTGGCCTGTCCATGTGCCTTGGGCTTCTCACAGCATGGTGGCTGGATTCTGAGCAGAAGCTTCCTAAGAGTGAGTATACTGAGAGATCCAGGCATGAAGGGCAAGGTTTCTTATGACCTAGCCTTGCAAGTGACACGGTGTCCATTCCTTTGTCTTTTCTTGGTCACAGGACTGGTTCAGATGCAGAGGACTATACAAGGGTATGAATAACAAGAGACACGGTTCACTGGGAGGGAGAGAAGGCTCCTTGGAGACTAGCGACTACAACTTTTGAGCATCCTTTATGTGAGGTAGCCTGGCCTGTATATGAGTAACACTTCCAGGAGAAAAGTCCACCTTCTCACGATTTCCGTTCCTGGAGACCACCTTTAGTTAGGAAATTCTTAGCAGGCTGAATGCCAGGTGACGGAATTTGCACTGTATGTTTTTGGAGCAGTGGGTAGCCACTGATGGTTTTGGGGCAAGGAATGATTGTGTCAGTATTGCATAAAGGTGGATTGAGTAGAGGAAGAACAGAGGTAGAGAGGTTAGGTAGGAGACTATTGCAGTAGTCTGAATGGAAGGAAATTCTTCCTCATATTAAATCTGAGTTCCTCTGGTTGCTGTTAAAATTACTGATTTTGATCTTTCAGCCACACAGATGAAGTACTCAGAGCAGGGCTGGAGGAACCCCGCCTCCCTCCTTATTTAGGGGTGCTGATACATGAGAGAGATCAAAAGCTTCACAAAAGGTAGAAGGCAACTAAAGTTAGGCTTTATTGTCAAGGCACAATAAGAGGTTAATCATTATTTATTTGAGCTGGGGGCGGACAGAGGGAGAGAGAGAATCTCAAGGAGACTCCACACACAGCCCAGAGCCTGACTTGGGCCTCAGTCCCTCGACCCTGAGGTCACGACCTGAGCCGAAGCCAAGAGTTTGACGCTCAACCAGCTGAGCCACCCAGGCGCCCCAAATCATAATTTGTTAAAAGAAAAAGCAAAAGAAAGCTAAAGCTTCATGTGCAGCCACTGACGATGTTTTAAAATATACCCCAGTTTGGCGCTCATAGACCACTAGGAAGCTAGGAGAAGAGTGAGAGGAAGAAAGAGGGGGACAAATTCGGGAATGGTAGGGAGGGGGAGAAAGAAGGGGGTCAAGAGGAGCAAGCAGCAAAAGGAGCTTGAAGGAGGGCGAGATCGGAGGAACTGCTCCCAGCTGAGGGACGACTCTGGGCAGACGGCAGAGCTGGCGGAGAGCCGGCTCCTTCTGTGCTTCCCTGGGGCCCTGGCCTCTGGCTTTCCGCACCTCCCCTCCTCACCCTGTCTGTCTGGCTTTTCTGTCTGTGAAGAGGCCATGGGAAGAGCTGGAGCGGATTTGCTGTCGGACAGACCTGGGATGACTCTTCGCTCTTGTGTATGGGGTCCTGACTTAATGATTAAAATGAACCTCGGGCGGTGCTGGTTTGGCCCCTTTCTTCTGAGGTGGGGAGCTCAGAAAGACATGCCTGTCTGAAACAGTTCTTTCCCTGACTTTCCAGCTGTGGCCCCGGGAGCCCAGCCTCAGTGTGGGGGAGCCTGCAGGTTCTCTTCAACAGCTGGTGTTCTGGGCAGTGTATCGTGACACCCCTTCTTTTTTTTTTTTTTTCCGAGTCCAATCTTCAAAGCCTAACTTCCACCCAGCCTTGTCATCACCTCAGCAGCTCCCCGAGACCGTTGGCGGATTCTCCACAGCTCCTGGTGACACACCTGTGAAAGAGTGCTCCCATGGGGAGGAGCCTGAAGGGAGAGGCTCCTGGTGTTGTGGGAAAACCACTTCATGCTTGAGTTCATTTCTCGACTGTTAGACTAACAGGTGCCTAAAAACAGATTTTCACTGCCTTCATTGTAATCTTCTATAACTCTTTGCTCCTTGTCTAATTACTGCTTCTGGCACTTCCCTCATCCGAGAGTTGTAACCTCAGAGGCACACATTTATTTGGCTACCACTCCAATGGAAGTACGGGCCAACTTTGCTCTGCCGATGGCAGCTTTCGCCAAGCAGGCCACCCTACATGTGTAGCAGTCTGCAGGCCCACCCTCTCCTCAGAAACAGGCCGTCCTTCAGTGTGCCAGAACCCAGAGCTTTACCTATCATCCCCTTTTCCAAACAAGCAAAGGAGGTATGCTTTTCTCAGTTTCCCTTAATTGCTTCCAACATTGCCTTGTTCATGTCTCTTACTTTCTTCACTTCTAGTGCTAGAGACATTTTGGGCAGGAGAATTCTTTATTGAGTAGGCTGTCTGTGCGTTGTAGGATATTTAGCATCATCCCTGGCTCGTACCCACTAGATGTTAATAGTGTCTCCCCCGCTTCTGCCTCCCTTTCCTGCAGCAGTTATGAAAACCAAGAATGTCTTCAGACATTGCCACATACCCCCTAGGGGGCGAACTCTCCCCCCCCCCCCCCGGGGCCCCCCCCCCCCCCCCCCCCCCCCCCGTTGATAGCCTTTGCCCTGCCGCTTCGCCTACTAAATATTCCTGGCCATCTGGGCCCCCTGGGGAATATCACATCAGTAGAACCAATACAGTAAGCATGCAGCTCTTACACTGGAAATGTTTCCTCCTCAGTCACCTCACTGGGCCCTTGAGGGTTTGGGGAGGGGTGAAATAATTCACAATGATAATCATTGTCAATAACTGTGAATAATTCACAATGAGCTAGCATGTTCCAACTCAGGAAGAAGCCATAACTGATATCCGCGCAACAGAGGGACAGTGTCCAAAGGTGGAAAGCAATGTCCTGGAGTGGTTGTGTTTGTCTTGTCTTGCTTTTCCAAGTATGTCAGTGTCTGGGCCAAAACCACCTTCCTATAGCTCCCAGAGGCGCCGTGTAGAATAGAGTTGGTACTATGTCGCAGGTAGACTACCGTTAACCTGTCTGTTCCTGGTATCAGACATTACCAGCCGATGTGGTGCTCTGATCACAGCAGTCTTCCTCTTCTCTCTGAAGCCACATAGGTTCTCAGAACCCTCTACCCAAGGCAGTTCTCAGGAGAGAAGGCTTACCTGCTGTCCCTGATCGTGAGCTTCTCTGGGTCATTTCTTTCCAGCTTCCCCTCCTGCAAAAGCCTTTAGGACAGTCCAGAGATCCAGTGGGTTCCCCTTGGCCCTCAGCACTTACATCTTAGGATGAACTCCTGCGTGGTCCATTGGAAGGTCCAGGTTGGAGATTACCCTTCTTCTCTAAGGAGGCCCTCCAAAGGCCAAAATGCTCAGTTCCATGAAATTAATTCCCTACCCCTTAGATAATAGCAAGCAGTGATAGCAAAAGAAAGACCCTGGCCCAGGACACTGCCAAGATTCCTGCTCTGGTCCTTCTTTCATGTGGACCAGAGGTCTGAACTCTGTTTCTTCCACACTCCTGGGATTTGTCTGCCGTGGTGTAGACGGGGTCATGGCCCCCGCAGGTATCCAGGCCATAACCCCTGGGACCTGTGGATGCTACCTGATACGGCAAAATGGACTTTGCCGATGCGATTAATTTAAGGATCTCGAGATGGGGAGATTATTCTGGATTATCCGAGTGGGCCCTAAGTGCAGTCACGGGTGTCCTGTGAACGCGGAGGCAAAGGGAGATTTGCTACAGAAGAAGGCAGCGTGACTGCTGCAGCAGGATGCTACCCCGCTGGCTCTGAAGATGGAGGAAGAGGCCAGGGAGCGCCAGGAACACAGCTCTAGAAGCTGGAAAAGGCAAGGAAGCAAATGCTCCCCGAGAGCCTCTGCAGGAAGCGTGGCCTTGCCAATACCTTGATTTTGGAGTGAAACCAGTTTTGGACTTTGGCCTCCAGAGCTGTAAAAGAATAAATATGTTTTAAGCCACTACGTTTGTAGTAATTTGTAACAGTGGCAATAGGAAACCACTCCAGGCCCAGTGGGTGACGTGGCTGGCCCTCATTCTTATTTCAAGGCAGTCTTAGAGCACCCCCTTTTTTTTTTTAATTTTTTTTTGTTATGTTAATCACCATATATTACATCATTAGTTTTTGATGCAGTGTTCCATGATTCATTGTTTGTTCATAACACCCAGTGCACCATGCAAAACGTGCCCTCCTCAATACCCATCACCAGGCTAACCCATCCCCCCACCCCCCTACCCTCTAGAACCCTCAGTTTGTTTTTCAGAGTCCATCATCTCTCATGGTTCGTCTCCCCCTCTGACATACTCCCCTTTTCTTCCTCTCCTGTTATCTTCTTCTTTTCCTTTTTTCTTAAAATATGTTGCGTTATTTGTTTCAGAAGTACAGATCTGTGATTCAACAGTCTTGCACAATTCACAGCGCTCACCGTAGCACATACCCTCCCCAATGTCTATCACCCAGCCATCCCATCCCTCCCACCCCCAACCACTCCAGTAACACTCAGTTTGTTTCCTGAGATTAAGAATTCCTCATATCAGTGAGGTCATGTGATACATGTCTTTCTCTGATTGACTTATTTCACTCAGCATAACACCCTCCAGTTCCATCCACGTCGTTGCAAATGGCAAGATCTCATTCCTTTTGATGGCTGCATAATATTCCATTGTGTATATATACCACAACTTCTTTATCCATTCATCTGTCGATGGGCATCTTGGCTCTTTCCACATTTTGGCTATTGTGGACATTGCTGCTATAAACATTGGGGTACATGTACCCCTTCGGGTCCCTACATTTGTATCTTTGTGGTAAATACCCAGTAGTAGAGCACCCCTTTTATAGCAGTTCAAGATTCTAGGTCCTGCCTTTTCCCAGACTAGTATTCGAAGCAATATGTTCTTTGGAGGAACCTTTTAGGGAGTTCTTGGGGAGTAAAAGAAAAGGCCTCAGGTAGTGTCTGATCCTTGCTTTTGGAAGTCACCCCACACCTTCAGTCAGATGAGTAAGAAAGGGTTTCTTTCAGACTGTTGAGGCTCCAGGATTAGTTTAAACCTGACTCCACTTCCATCTTCCACTCATTAATATGCAGCTATCGGGTACCTCCTGTGTGCTAGGCATTGGGGCTGAAGGAGTGAACAAAGCAGATAAAAAAGTCCCGTGCTCTCATGGTGGTTATGGTGGAGAACAAGGAGAGAGCCAGAATTATGTAGCTAGCATGTCAGATGGTGGTCAATGCTATATCGTAAAAAATAAAGTAGAAGGGGCACCTGTGTGGCTCAGTCAGTTAAGTGTCCGACTCTTGGTTTTGGCTCAGGTCATGATCTT